AATTTCTAACAACTCTATCATAACTATCTAAGCTCAAAATCCAATCTTCAAGTCCATTAGATCGAGATCCATCTCTTGTGATTAGATTCATCTTGCTCTCTTATCAAGCTTCCTTTCTTTTCACCGATCCTTCAAAACATTCAAATGCAATCTTATCACATCATGTATTAAGAATCAATGAATAGGAACTTAATGGAGTTAGATAGTGGATTCTTACCTAAAGCATAGTCATACTTTTGACTCTCCCATCTCTTAGATCTCTTAGGTAAATAGGGCAACTTCGTCTCCAATGCCCCTTCTCTTGGCAATAAAAGCAAATTGACTCTTTTGGAACAACACATGGAACTACTTCAGACATCGCCTTTCTCTTATGATCAAACTTTTCGATCATTGCATGTCTTTCATTGCCATTGTCTATATCCATAGAGGTCTTGAAGGCAGATTCACCAATCAACTTTGCTTTTCTATTGCGCCAAACCATTGCTGATTCAGCAGCAATAAGCATGTAGGTGAGATCTATAAGTGTCACGTCGTGGTTCATCATATAGTACTCTCTTACAAACTCACTATACGAGTTAGGAAGTGACTGAAGAACCCAATCAACAACCATCGCTTCATCGACAACGGATCCCATCATTCTTAATCTATCAACGTGTGACTTCATCCCTAAGACGTGTGCACACACCAACTTACCCTCTTTATGTTTACTTGCCAAAAGGGCTTGAGTGATATTGAACCTTTCAATTTTACAATCTTGTGGGTTAGGGAGAATAATTGGAGGAGGAGGAGCAAGTGAAGCATGATTTCTTGTTCCTCGATCGAATCGTGGAATATCATCTTCATGTGGAATGCTTGTTCCACGGGATTTGAGAAGACCATAGTTGTCGAACTTTGACATCGGGAGAAAAGCAAATTCAAGTTAGTTGATTGATTGAGTCCTTGGTAAATCACCCAAATGAAATTCCAAGGCTAGGACCCAACATAATATCCTACAACTCGGGAGAGGGATGCCGTAACCCAAATTGCAGAACATTTGAAGGTAAGTGAATGACGATTCACTAATTTCCACCATGAAAAACGAAAAATAATTTTAAGTTTTAAATCTATGAAAACTCCTAGATCCTTTGAGATTCATTGAACATTTCAATGGCATGTTTAAATCTCGATATGCCCCTCTTGTTTGTGACTGGGATGCCGAGGATCACAAAGCGGGTGTGAATAACCATGCAAACTACATGGTGCCCTCACATGTTACAATCACCTATTCGATGTGCCGGTAAACCACACACACTCCACCGAACTATAAAAAACATTGAGTCACCCTTTGCTACCTTTGCTTAGAACCATTTAGTGTGCCGGTAAACCACACACGCTCCACTAACGTCTTCGCAAGGGCACAAAGTATAATTTCATGGAATTGCATCAATTCACTTTTGCCTAAGTAACTAAGATTGGGAATTTGAAAAACATTTAGTTACTTTGTATTTCATTATACTTATAATGGAAGGTTTCGTCCTATCCTACCCGTTCGGCTAACGACCCTCCACTAGTCAAGAGTGCGGTGGGTAAGAGTGGATACCCATTCAATCGCCATTTTATAGGTAATTTCCTTAAACACCCCTTATAGACCAGCTTCGTGAATGAGGCTTACTAACGGTAAGACTAACTTTTACTCATACATATATATAATGTTATACTTTTAATGTTATATATAGTATAGGGTGTATTTTCTACTTTTAAAATACTATATGGTTAACTTTAACAATTATACTTGTAATTCAATTAAATGGTTAACCTAAACCTTTATGGATTTATTAAATCTCTTTTAATTATACTCCTTAATTAATTAATAAAACCATAAGGGTGTGATTTGAACTTTTCAAAACATTACTAGGGTTTTAAAATTTAACATTCCTAATTAACTTTTAATCAACTTTTAAATTCCAAAACTTGAGAGCAAGTTTTGAAACCTTTTTCAAAACATTAGGGTTTTAACTATTTAAATTTCAAAACTCCAAAACTTTTGGGTTCAAATTTAAACTATAAAATCTAAAGGGGAAAATATGAAACCTTTCATAACAACAAGGATCAAATAACAAATAATTTTAAATTAACATTTAATTACATAATTATCCATATTTGATTTATTTCATGATTTCTTGCAAAACAATTTATCAATTTACTCAAAATAATTAATCAATTATCTTATAAGGAAACAATTATCTTGTTAATTGATAATTATCTTTAATTAGATCAAGAATATAGTCATATATATCATAAAATCGGATTTATATTGATCTAACATGATAAGGTAACTATCCATATGCAAAAACAGCAAGAAATCCCGAGATAAGCATTATCTGATGAGTTGACTCGTCGAGTCAGGCATGGACTCGTCGAGTATGCATGGACTCGGCGAATTCAGCCATGGACTCGGCGAGTCCAGCCTCCATAATCCAAAAAATCGAATTTTTCAGTTATGCAATGCATCAATACAATTGAAACCAAGCTAGGCTCTGATACCACTGATGGGTTTTGGTCATAAGACATCCTATGTGCTCATACAAACCCTAATGCTTGGATCTAGGTTTCTCTATTGTACATGCAAGTTATCCAAGACTATAAACCCTAATTCTAGCATACAAGTAATCATATTAACATGTAATTAGGTTTAAGATCATACCTTGATTGTTATGTAGCAATAACAATCTCAATTCCTCCTTGAATTGACTTTGGAAGGCTTAGAGTCACAAGTGTCACTCCTCTAATGGTTCACAAACACCATAAGCAAGAGGATGAAGAGGAGAGAGGATGGAGGCTGCCAAAAACGTGTGTAAACCCTTACAAGAACATTAGCCACGTTTTTGAGCCTTAAGGGGTCTTTATATAGTTGGGCTATTAGGGTTATCTAACAAGGAAACCTTAATTTGGATGCTTAAGCCCTAAGCAACCCATAGACTCCTTTAATTAAGCCCATGGACGATTTCCTTATGGGTTTCCCATTAGAATTCGTCCATCCCTTAATACAAGGCAATCCATGGCCCAAATTGCAATTATCTTATAATTACAATTCCAGTCCCTTAAGTTTAATTAATCTCTTTTAGTCACAAAACTAATTACCAATTAATTATTGACTAATATTAATTAAACAATATGATTTCTCCTTTAATATATTATTCTCATAATACATTAATAAATCATATTTAATCCTTACTCTCCATAATTCATCCTATCAAGTTGCTTTGGTGAAGGCAACCCAAAAGGACCATGCACCATCGGGTCAAGTACATACCAAAATAGTTATGGACTTAGATACTAATCCAACACTAGTAACCTACAACAACCGGTATCAAGGGTTTTGGTGAACAGGATTGGTAAGTTCAGTGGTATAATAAAGACAAAAAAAAGATAAGGGACCAAATGAGTACTTATAGAACACTTTATTACCCTCAAAGGTTATTTTCCCTATTTAAAATGACAAATATACTCTCACATGAGGAGCATGTGAACAACTTAACTCGAGAAAGATAACGATAGTTTACTCGTGGGACCAAATTTGCATAGAAGTTTCAAATTTGGACCATCTGTGCGACAAAAAGAAAAATTAGACTCAATCTGCACTTTTTGGTAAACCACATGGACCAATTATGCTCTTTGCTCTAACTTCTAATATACAATAAAAGGTTGTTTGTATGTCTCTCTAGTAAAAGGTAACTTCTCACTCTAGTTAGACCGTTTGTTTCGCCAAATTTCACCTCTTACTCGGCGTGCAGACTCTTATCCAATTAGATAAAGTTACAGTTATAGCCCTTTCACTTCTTTTTCTATTATATAACTGTCAATTTTTACCCCTTCTTTAATTATATCTAGGGGTTAGCTAATGCTTCGCATAGGGTGTAAGTGGTTGTTATTGTTTGTTTTGGGGTATTATGTATATCCTATATGTTTAGAGAAACGCGATAATGAAAGTTGTTGGGCCTTTTTATTTGATTGTAATTGTCAAATTCTTAATTTAAATCTTCTTATTATGGATTTATTTTACCTCCAAAATCCGAAAAACTCTACCACCCGGATGGCAGGATGGACAGTGGATTCACATTCACATCAACGTTAACGTTAAAACTATACATCATATTAAATCCAAAAAAATACTCCAGAAAAATCCAAGGAAAAGTTGTTGAGAGAGAAACACCATCATTGTATGTTCTTTTGAACTTTAAGATCAATACATTAATGGCAAAAAATAGAAAATATATGATTTAATGCAATATCTGATTTAATGATTTAATAAAAATCAAATTGAAAGTATTTTGGTACAAATGAAAAAAAAAACTTAACAATCATTTAAATAAATTTTGAAAGTCTGACAGAAGTACAATCATGCCAATATATGAAATAGGATGAATTATATATATATATATATATATATATATATATATATATATATATATATATATATATATATATATATATATATATATATTAAAGTTGTGATAATTTTTTCAACAATAAACTGTTGAAATTTATCCAACTTTCGTCCCTCTATTTTTGTTACTTATTATTTGCCCGGTGTGTTTAATTTGCAGGGGTTAGTTTGAAAATTTATCCCACTGATGTCAACGTGGCTGTTGCTGCTTTCGTTCTTTATTTTATCGAACGGACGTGTCAATCTATGGATATCTCTCTTTCTTTACTCATCTTCTTTCTTCTCCGTAACATCACTACTAGAAAAACAACCTTTTACGACGCGCAAATAACGACACACACTAATGTGCATTTATTGTCCGTAACTAAGTATGGTTGGAATTTAAATTTATTTATTTATTTTCTGTTTTTCCTTGTTTAAAGGTGATGATCACAACATAATGATATATTACCCAAGTCCAGCAGGGGGTTGTATGAAAGAATTGTTTAGAAAGGTGAGTTTTTATAATTGCTATGTGTATTAAGTACATTCAGTCGCTTGGAATTGCATTGGCACAAAGCTTGCATCTGGATCTATGGATCAAACAACTTGGGTATGGCATATTGAGCCCCATGGCCATGTAAGTTTTCTTCTTCATTTTGTCTCTTGAGTCTTGTTACTATATTCAAACACCCAATTAGTATTGTTTATATACTCTATTGTGTTGCAGAGCAAGGTTAAGGATCTTGAACTAAAGGGGCATACAAATAGTGTAGATCAGTTATGTTGGGATCCTAAACACGCCGACTTGATTGCCACTGCTTCAGGTGACAAGAATGTTTGTCTATGGGATGTCTGCAGTAAGTTGAAATACAAAATATTTCTTTTTAAAAAAATAATCTTTATTGATCTATATGCGAATAAACAGGTGGAAAATGTTCACATCAACCAGAACTCAGTGGGGAGAACATTAACATTACCTATAAACCAGATGGGACTCATGTAGCAGTTGAGAACCGGGTACATTCTCCTTTCCTTTTTTTTCATTTACCAAAATTTCCTTTAACAACATTTAGGAAGCTTATGTTAATTATACTTTATTATATATATGTTAAATAGGATGATGAACTGAGAATACTGGATGTTCGAAAATTCAAACCCATCCATAAACTCAAATTCAACTATGAGGCAAGTATACTCTTATTTGTGAGTTTGAAATTGAAATGGAGTGAAGTTGAATAGATTATTATTAGATTTGTTGAAATACTAATTAATCTTGTTTTTGGCAGGTAAATGAGATTGCATGGAACATGAGTGGGGACATGCTCTTCTTGACTACACTCCCCTCTCGTGCTGGTAACCCTAGCCTTGCACTGTAGTTAAAAATTATAATTAAAACTTTGACTATGGAGAAAAAGACATAAATGCCCTTTCCAAATGTAATCATCTGGTAATGTAATTTATACCTGTGAATAAATAGAGAGTTTTAATTAATTAGTTTTTTAATGTTTATATGCATAGTATTAGTTATTAAATATTAATGCATGACAACAGTTGGCATACAAAGTTCTTTGGTCAAGCTTGCAAAGTCGTGGCCATAGGTACTGTACAGTAATGAGGAAGAAGCAAGCCACTGTATCTAGAAGTTTTTGAGGAAATGAGACTCAAGAAAAAAGCAAACACACTGAAAGTTGTTGGTAGATAGTAAGCTAGATAATGCAATTGTATATAAATTATGCTTCTCTTGAGTTCATTTTTTATAACATTTACTCACTATTGGAATAGACATATTAGTGAAATGAATTATCTTTGTTATTTATGGTATTTTATTTGTATGACATTAAATTTTATGCAATGGATTGTATTTTTTGTATATGATATTTATATTATGAGACATTAAATACAAATTTAAATTGAAAATTAGTAAATCTATAAATAATTTTTTTTAAACATTTAAAACTATGATACGCAAAAATGTGTGTCATCTTCATTTATGATATGGCCTTTCTTGACAGGGGCTTTCTTGATACGCATTGCTTGTCATTAACACGCGCGTCATAAGTTTACGACATGCGAATGCATGTTGTCTTCCTTTGTGATAGGGCCTTCCTTGGAACGCATTGCGTGTCGTAAACGCGAGTCGTAATGGCGCGTCGTAAATGAGCGTCGTAAATGCGCGTCGTCTATAGACGACGCGCAAAAGTGCGCCGTCTCTCTTTATGCCATGGCCTTCCTTGACATGCATTTGTGCGTCGTCTGAGCCTTTTACGACGCACAATGAGCGTCGTAAAAGGCTGTTTTTCTAGTAGTGCATCTTCCTATGTACCTTTTTGCTTCTTTGTCTGCTCCCAAAACATCTTCCCTCCGCTTGCTCCGACGTTTCTTCTTCTTCTGAGAATCATCAACCTCCCCAAAATTAAACACACCGGCCAAATAATAAGTAACAAAAAAGGGGTCATATTTTTCAATGTTGACAACGACAACTTAGGATACACACACAATACAAGAAGTTTATGGCGCTTTAATTTCGTTTATGTGGGTTGGGATGCCATTGATGAGGCTAACCAACAGGTATTTGTTTCTACTCAGATTTCTTGAACAATCTGGAAAAGCTATAAATCACAAGTCACTCTTCAATTTTGATTCATTACAAATTACAATTATAATTTTTTTTCAACATAGGTTGTGCAAGAGGTTGCCCCGTGTAACAGCCCGAAATCCAGGTATTCTTCTATTTTGGATTAAATTGTTAATTTAGGGTTTTCATGGTAGGCGAGTACGCTGGGCGTACAAGGTGTACGCTGCGCGTACTCGCACACCTCATTTGGACGTGTTCACCCTCAGGTACGCGGGGCGTACCGAAGGTTACGCCCAACGTAACTTATTTAGATCCAAACCCTAATTTCCTTTGGAGGGGCTATAAAAGGAATGTGTGGCTAGACTTCTCAGCCACCATCCCTCAGAGTGAAACCCTAAAAAGAGTGTACCTTCGTTCTTTAGCCATTGTGTGTGTATTCTAAGCTTGGTGGTGCCATTCCAAGGTTGCAAAGGAGAAGAAGAGATTGTTAGAGAGGCTAGAAGTGGTGCTCAAGTGTAGATCTAAGCTTTGCAAGGGTTAATGCTTCATTTTCAGGTAAAAAGTTTGGATCTTGTCACTTGGTTCATGTTATATGCTTAAGGTGTCATTTTCTAGGATTTAAGTCCCAAAGGTGGAGACCTTTTGTGCAAATGGCCTCCATAAGCTTAGATACTTCATATTTATGATCTATTGGAGTTGTAGACTCATAAAAATGGCATCTTGGACGTGGGTATTGCACCATGCATGAGATCTAGGTCCTTGAGTTGGAATAGAATGTTGTTATGTGATGTTGGAGCCTTTACAGCCATGCCAAGGCTTAAAGGTCTCGACTTTATGGGTTTAGACACACTAAAAGAGTCGGATCTAGAAGTTGTAGTAATGGCTTAACCGATTAAGACCAAAAATGGAGAGTGGCTGATTCTGGTGGTTACGCTGGGCGTAACTTCCAGTACGCACAGCGTACTGAGTGGAGACCCCGATCGAGGGGGGTTGGCGATGTACGCCCCGCGTACTCTTAGGGTTGACTTTGTTGACTTTTAGGGTTTTGGTCAACATGAGGACTCTAGGTCAAGGAAGGGTAAAATGGTCTTTTACCCTATGAGGAATGATGATAAGGGGTAAAGTTTTAGTGGTGGAAGTCTTTGTGTATTAAATGATATTTTTGTGTTTAGGCGAGGTAGAGCCTTCGTTTGGATTCGGTGATAGCGAGGACGCGAGATCTTAGACTTTCCACAAGGTGAGTTTTCTCACTAAACTGTACCCAGAAGGGTTGACTGTGTGACCGGAAGGTCGGATATGCTATGAGATATATGTATTATGTGTGATAAGTTATTCGTTATATGTGCCATGTATGATATGCTTGATATAGGCTGGAAGGCATTATATTATGGGCTAGAAGGCGAATATGTTATGGGCCGGAAGGCGCTGTGATGTGGACCGTAAGGTCGACGTGGGTAGGACCGGAAGGTTTACCTAGTCGGGACGGAAGTCCCCTGAGACACATGGACCGGAAGGTTAGGGCCTGGAAAGGCGTATGTGCGTAAGTTGTATTTTGGGGAACTGACTAAGCATTTATGCTTACAGTTGTTGTTTTATGTGTTTCAGGTACTAGCGAGGACCGTGGGAAGGCGCCGGCGTGATCGTACACATTATCGGGGGAAAACTATCTTTATGATCTTTGGGATGTATTCTGTTGTGACAATATTGTATACGTCTAAATTTGAAATATTAATCGATGTTTTTGATGATTACAAAAATGAAAAGTTTGTTTTAAAATTTACATCGTTACAAGTTGGTATCAGAGCCTTGGTTTGAGGGATTCAGATACACCTTCGGGCATAACTTAACTCAAACCAGGGATTTGAGAAATTTTTAATTAATAAAATCAATAAAAAAATTTTGATAAGTGATTTTGAAACAACCAAAGAAGAAGAAGTGTGTACGGTCAGCCAGCGCCCGAACGGTAAACTCCCCAAAATACTCTTACAATATGTGTTATGAGATATGATATGATATGATACGCATGCTAGTAGACTAGGTATTCATATTAGGACTAGAGTGGCTTGATTTTTGATGCCTTAGTCTAGGGAAATCTGCTGCTATGAGGTGCTTTGAGAGCGAGTGGGTAGCTAGTGCATGGCAAGAATAGAGTACTCATGATCTGGGTTTTGGGGAGGAGGACTTAGGGTGAACGTTGATTCGGTGTAGTTGGTAGTATTGGGCCCGTACTATTGAAGACAACGGGTCAGTGGGCAACCCAAGTAAGAATCCCTAGGTATCGGAGACTGAGTAGGGTTGCGTTATCGAGTGCGATTATGCTCGATAGAGTCTCTGATATTTCTATGTTGTATTTCAGAGGCATCATGGTTGGACCACGCCACAGACCTGGTACAAGCAGTGTGAGTGACGAGGAGCTTCGTCAGATGATTCATGAGGAGGTGGCTGCAGCGATCCGGGCTGAGATTCCGGAGATGTTTGGGTCTATTAAGACCACGCTGATGGAGACTTTTGATGAGCGGTACGCCACGGTGACTGAGGTCGCAGCCGCTGCAGCTACCGCAGCTGTGGCCGCTGCGAGACCACAGGGAGGTGACTTGTTGCTGTTCCAGGAGTTCAGCAACACGAAGCCACCCGAGTTTGATGGGACGCAGGATCCGATCGCTGCGATGAGATGGATTGCTGATATCAAGGGATGCTTCTACACTTGTTCATGTCAGGAGAATCTGAGGGTACGGTTCGCTTTGAACCAGCTCCGTCTGGGAGCAAAGGATTGGCCGAAGTTCATGACGGCGAACTTCACTCTGGAGGAGGTTTCAGCTGTGACTTGGGAGAGGTTTACTACTATGTTCAGAGATGAGTACGTTCCCCCGGTGGAGAGGGAACGGTTGGTTCAAGAGTTCTTGACCCTCAAGTAGGGTAATGATTCTGTCACGGTGATCACGCGGAAGTTTCATGAGAGGGCGATGTTTTTGTTGGGTTTTGAGCAATCTAACACTCCTAAGTGTACATGCAACCCTAAATACCTTGGATCTATGTTTTCTCTATTATACATGCAAATATCAACTTTCCAAGGTATTGTACTATTCTAGCATACAAAACTTTGAATAACACAAGTTAGAATAACATACCTTTTGTTGGTGCTTGTCTTCATGAAGCTTGAGTGCCTAGTGCCCCAAGTGTGACACCTCAAATGGTTCACACAACACCATAAGCACTTGGAATAACTTAGAGAGAAATTAGAACACTTCTTGAAATCGTTTTTCCCTCACCCTCACACATAGTGTACGATTTCTTGAGCCATGGGATTCTTTTATATGGTGGCTATTAGGATTACACCATGTAACTCGTGACTTTACCCATTCCTTATGCTCCATGGATTTTAACCTCCATGGAGCATCCATGGTTCACCCCATGGACTTAGTCCAACATAAGGAATCTTGGATCACAAGCCTACATGTATAAGAATGACTGATTTACACAATCAACCCATATATTTAATTAGTGTCCTTTTGATCACTTAATTAATTCCAAATTAATTCTTGATCAATACTAATTAAATAACCTTATTAATATATTAGAAGTTATAATATATTAATAAACCTTAAGTGTTATTTCTCTCATTTTAGTCTATCCAAGTGCATGCAACCCAAATGGACCATGCCGGGTCGGGTCAAGTTTTACCGATTATAGTTATGGACTTAGGCATTAATCCAACAGTATCCCACTTGGATAAGTCTAAAACTATTATTGCAAGTATGACTTCAAAACCCGACTAGCAATCGTAGCTCTCAAAAGCTTCTG